GATCACAGAGGAGCTCCCCTGGAAGGTGCTTTGGTGATGAGGGTGCAGGGGGTGTTGGTGTGCTGAGCCCTGCTGGAGGAACCATCCTGTCTGCAAGTGGGACGCTGCTATTTAACTAACACACAGCTTCTTGAAATAGTCAGCAAAACGGTACCTAACAGGAGCTTAGTAAGAGCTGGGTTCTCAGATCCCCGCTGGCTTGTGCTGCTCCAGCGACACAAGCTAGCAGTGACCCTTATTTTGCAGTTCCCACACTCCACCTCCTCTTTCCTTCTAGCTGAGCAGTTTTCCTCAAATGGCCTGCAGATCTCAGTAGGCTAGCCTACTTTTAAGGACGGTGAAAAAGTGAACCAAAAATTAAGCCTATCGTTTAATGGATCTAAAAACTACTCCCCAGGTCTGCACGGACTTTGAAACGCTTCCTGGGGTCTGTGCAATGAAAACCTATGTTCTGTTTTCAACATACAGCATTACTGCGACTGTTGAGGTGCTTTCATGCTGACTCTGGTCATTGTGGAGTGGTTCCCTGGGCTTCAACAGTGGCACTGTTGTGAGGGGCTGGGTTTGGGCTGCCGGGGCTGGCACTCTGCTTTCCATTGTGGGCACCGGCAGTAAAATGGAGTTGGTTCACAAGCAGGCTGTTAGAATCTGCAGGGTATTTGGAGGAGCTTTATATATTTTTTGCATTTTCAAGTCCTCTCCATCCATCCAGGGAGCGTGCAGAAATAACTTGCTGCAAAAATATAAAAAGCAGCAAGCGTTTGTATTGTGGGGAAATGCTAATTTAAACTCGTTGGGTCTAGTCCAGATAGTTTACTTACCAACACTTAAAGCATGGGTAGAGAAATTTCTGTGGGATTGTGAATCAATAAAGGCTGAAAGTTAGAAGGCTCTCCTTTGCCACCCTCACTGGCATGACCATGGCCAGGAGGGCATCGCATCCTGGTGCGGTGCTGCTTGGTGCTGCTTGTCCTGGGGCCGCATGGAGCAGGATAGCAGCAGAGCTGGGCACTTCCTAACTAAGTGCAGAAGCTGCAGAAACCAAGTGCACATAAGGAATCAAGCAAGTGAGATCCAAGGGGGCTGCTTTGTTCTCATGCGACTTCCCTTTGATGCTTGCAGTTCTGTGGGCCTACATGAGGAACAGACACTAAGGGTATCTGGCACCTAATTCCAGCCAGATAGAAATTAGCATGCTTCACTTGCTAATTCCTTGAAGGTATGAGCTGTTAACGACATAAATAGGAGCATGAGACTCACCGTATGGGTACTAACTACAAAATGATCATTTTAGCTGCATTAAACCAGAATGGAGAAAAATGAAATCTGCACAGGCAAAACGATGCATCAAATTCACTGCAACTACACCAAAGATGTATTCTGCATAAATAGCTTTAACAAACAGTAATTAACACAGCGAGCATGTTTCCTCATATAATATTGTTAAAGAGATTAGAAACAAAGTTAGCTAATCTCATCTGAATTGTAATGTGGTGTCACAAGTAATGATAAAGTTTTCTTTCTTTGGACTAATTGTTTTGATTTAAATGGCAATGACTTTGGAGTCTAAATTAACTGTTAGCAATGAGACTGGATGCTTACTCCAGCATGTGATAGAATTATAATCAAATGAGATTTTAATTAATAATTGAGTAAGTCCTTGGTGAGTTTATGAAATATGAGGCATGCTCTACATTTGCATTCTGCCCTGAGATCTGTGAGAATACCGAGCTATTTCTGATTGGGAAAGCAAATAGAAGTTCTTTCATCCAGACCAGTGGTGGACTGAGCTCTTCTCTTGAGCCTCTGCATCTACCCTTGGTGCACAGAATGGGCAGTTCACAGCAATCTGTGATCAAAACCAGAAAGTCGGTGCAGCTTTGATGAGAGAAATGCCAGTCTCCCTCACAAGCTGAATTTTGTCCCTTCCTTGATATGATAAAGTATAAAGCAGTCAGCAACAAAATCCTAGTGGAGTTTTTAGTCTCCCTCTGTTCATCTCACAGCAGAAGGGTGTACTGAGTGTTTTACTCTGCCAAAGACGTCCTCAGAGATCAGGATAGTCCTCAGCGCTCCTGGCTTCCAGCAGCTGATTATCTGAGTCACCTGAGTACCTTACAACAGTGTCTGGGCCACATGCCAGAGGACCCCAGAAACATCAAGAATGAAAGCACAAGAGAAAGTGTGTGTGAGAGAGAATTTACTACAATAAACAACCCCCAAATCTACACTGTTGTAGCCTGCTTCCTCTCAGTATGTAGAGTTCAGTGCACACACAGCCTGGATCTGGCTGTGAAACTTGCTTTTCTATTTAAACACGTGGTGCAGTCTTTGGTCTATTGGAGGTGAAAGGCACCGACATTCTGGGAAATGGAATTGCGAGGATGCTGTTCACATAGGAACAAGTATTTTACCGCATTCAGCCTATTGTGCTGTCTGTGTGGCTCCTTCAAGTCCCACCTCAAAACCATCTCAGTGACTTGTCTGCGCTCTTCTAGTGAGGAAGCAGCTCCAGACCTCACTGCCCTTGTCCCAGGAAGCCTTCTGCTCTCTGGGGAAACCTAAGTCTTTCTCTTCAGTAGCCCTGCTGACCTGATAGTGTCCTCCAAGGCATCCTAGTGTGTTCATCATCCCAGGAGCCCTCCTCTGCCTCCTTCTAGTGTGAGTTCACCTTTGTTGAACACAGATGGCCACTGCTGTGTTTTGTTCCAGGTGAGTTTTGTACTGGGTGATGAGGATAACTCCCTGCTGAAAATCTCTCCTCTGAAACTTGCATCAATCATCTCCCCCATTCTTGACAACATCTCAGTAAGGGCTCTCAAGTCATTTTATGTTATCCACATTTCTTGCCTCTCTCTTTGCTCTGGTGTGACTTTGATCTCTATGCTGTTTAACTTCATAGCATTTATTCTCTGTAACTCTTCACATCATCCTATGCTTCTTCTACACGTATGTCTCCTCAGAGTTCAAAATATTTACTCATGAAAGCAAAGGCAAAATACTTTACCTTTAGGTCCTAGTCCACATAGTCTCCACGTCCAAAAATAAAGGAACTTTGCTGCTTTCTGCATTAAGCAAACACACGTATCAAACCCGTGTGCCAGAAAAGGACCTGTACATCACCAAGTCACTGTTTTCTTCTGTCAAAGCTCTAAATTATCAAGGAAATGGGACAAGAACTGCAAGCATACACCTGTCTTCTAATTTTTCTTGCCCTTATGAGTCAGTCTTGGTATCGGACAAACTAGTTACTCAATGTGTTGCAATAGTGTAGATCTGGGAAGGAATGTGGCATGGCCTCTGGTGATACCATTTTGTACCTTACAAAAAGAGCAGTCGTGGTTAGTGGAAGATTTTTTTTTTCTGTCATAAAAAAATCTGAAAATAAGAAAAATATTTCAAAAAACGCTGCATTTTGTGGACAGAAGGCCAACAAAAGGAATAGAACCACTGGAATACGAGTAGTAAATAGTGTTACAGTACTTGTTATCTCTGCGTATGCATGCTTGATTTTGGCAGCCAGCTTCCCTGTAGCTTTTTGGAGCACATAAGTTAGATCCTTAGCCCCATCTGGAGAAGTTAGTTTTCCATGCAACATGTTGGCAACAGCTTAGGTCAACGTGTTCAGAAGTAGTTCTGAGAGCCCGATTATAAGTCCCTTGGGAACTTTGCATCAGCAAAATTCCTATTGACCTCAGCTTGCAACAGTATTTGATCATGGAATTGGGGCAAGAAATGTGATATGCATGCTGTAAAGCTTAAATGAGCTATCTGTCACAGAGGATTTTCTGGAAGGATGAACTGGAATCTGCATGTGAATCAGTAACAGGTTCCTATGAATTCTGACAATTTCTTTAGTATTTGCTAAGAGCAGAAACAATTCCACTAGGATTCAAAGAGGGAATGAAAAGGTACACCAGGACTCTAAGCAAAGTCCTGTCCTGAAAACAAAGCAGCTTTACAAGGACTTCCTGTACCTAAACACACATCAAAATAGAAAAGCTGTGTGGACGCTGCAGGAGGCACTGTTAGCATGTGCTCAGCACCACTGAGCTTTGCCTGGCACAAAGGGCAGGATGTATTAACTGTGGACAGTTTCTCCTGCCCCTGTAGAGCAGGTCCTCTTCATCAGCAGATCCCCTCAGCCGGACACAGTTCTACAGGTTTCCTCTCTGCATATCCAGACTTGCTCCAGCTCTGCAGTTGTTCACCTGGACACCGCAGGACTCATCCCTCAGCTTCAGTCACTGGCAGCCTCTCCCCCTACAGTGTAAATTATTCATAGAACTCCAAACAAGACAAAACTTTTCTTGAACTCTCATGTTACATTCCTTTTAGCACTGTTCTTTTCCTTCACATAACTATGGTACATACTCACCTTTATCCTCCCAAAGTCTCTACACAAACAAGTGGGAAGAAAGCCCATGAAAGGAAAGGTGTGCCTGATAATTCAATTACCTGCTCACCACCAGAGGTAGCCCTGAGGGCCAGCTGAGCATGCTGGCTCCAGTAATTCTTTGTAGAAAACTTCTACAGCTTTGAGCAGCAGGGATTGAGGAGGGGCAGGAGATGGGAAGCTTGTGATTTGGGTGTCCTAAGCACAGCTTGTAACTAGCAGCAGGCAGAATAGTACAGGAGTTACTGTTTGTGAAGGTCAGATTTACAGACACAAAGAGCACACAAATACCTACTTCTCCAATTACCTGCTGAGCTCAAAAAGTGGGTGTTAGCAAAGGATAAGGGAATTTTTCATTGTAAGTTGGGTGTCAGCCCAGGACAGAGAGAGGTTACTATAAGAGCTCCATGCCCTTGATGTGCTCCTGCAGTGCTGGCAAATACTCTGTGTTTGGTGAGAATGAGATTATTTTAATGCCTTGCAAGAACACTTTACTTGGGAAGTGATTCTTAGCTGTTAAAAGAAGTTACTTTCTGACAAGTATGACTGATTCCAGTAAAATAAAAAATCATTATTATCAAACTTTCCTTCTAGTTTTTTTTGACTCACCTAATCCTATATGTCCCTATAATCCCAAAAAATAGCGTATTTGTTCCTTCAGGTGCGTGTGACAGACAACATGGTGGCAGCAGAGGTATGTAGATCTTATGCCTGTGTAAGAGGCATAAGGCTGCGCACAATCCTGTGCTGTCTGCTACAAATACTACATTGTTTGTGTTGAGGAAACAAAGGTGTCTTGATGTGATATGCTGTGATGTCATTTTGCTGTGCGCTGCTGAATCGCGTGGTTAAGGCGTGCTGCTTTCTGTTTGCTGGGGGCCGTTGGGCTTGCACAGATGTGTGCCCTGATGCTAGGACAGTGCAAGGACTCCTCCAGAGACCAGAAATCAGCACAGGGTGAACAGAGCCATGGCTAACGGCTCTGCTTCGTGGTGCGCTGAGCACTCTGCTGCAGAAACAAAGAAAAAGCACTGAAGTAATTTCTCTACTTTCTGAGAGAAGCTTGTACTTAGCACAGTCCGTGTCTGAATCCTACACTGAGGTTTAATCGCACTTTCTCATATTTTATCTTAATTTGCTATTCGTGCGCTTTGGGGTGGAGGGATATTAAATGTTTATATGATGTAAAAGTTAAATTTACTTTGACTAGATTTTGCTTTAATTGGGTAACACCCAATTCCAGAATTGAGTTTCTAAACTTAAGTTTCTAAACACAACTGCTACATTTGATCAGGCAAAACCCAAAGCAACAGCTGCACTCTGCACAGGGAAACACTTCAGAAGAATACCTAATCTGCTCTCGGAGAGGTTACTTCTTAGGTCAGGTTTTCACACAAACTCATTCCATACAATACACCAACCTCTCTGCTTCGTTTGACTCAGAAAGTTAAAATAGGCAGGTTATATAATGATGTTTATCTTTACATCAGGAAGTCAACTAAGAAGCTGTTAAGCTGATATTATATAACACAGTCCTGATTACGGGAAGTGTGGAGGTAGATGATCTAGGTTGATGTATGTCAGACTGACAGTAATTGTTAAAGGTTATAATTAATATTGTTTCATATGCTTTTATTTTTCATTTTTTGTGGTCTTCCAGAAGGCATTTGAGCATTAGCAACTATGTACTGAACTTTACCTGTTTATAGAAATTTCAGTTACTCTATTTTATACGTTAGGTAAATATAAACACAAACACACACACACACACAAAAAAAAAAAATCTAAAAAATGAAATAAAGTCACACATCACTCCCCGTTCCTTGTAATTCTCTAGTACTTGAGGTCAGTGGAATAACAAAACTCTTTCTTTTGTAGGATCGTGAACTGCCCCTTACTGAATACACATACCCTATTGCAAGAGCAAAAGAAGGATGAGATGATTCTATAAACATGGCATCAGTACCTAATTCAACAGGAGCTCAAATAACTTTGGAGAACACAAACCATACAACAGCAGAAAACTATAAATTAGCAAACACACACACAAAGCAACCCACAGAACAAAGCAATGGTTCTCTCATCCTCCTTGTAAACAGGAACGTTTTCATCTACTGGTCATACTCAGCCGAACTGTCTAACTGTAAGAACATCGCATCACTGCATCCTTGTATTCAGATCCTGGTCCAATTAAATGGAGAGAAATTTCATTTATGAGAACAAACATTGGACATGGAGTTAACAAATTAAAAACACAAGGCTTGTATTACTGGGAAACTCCTCAACTGTTCTCTGTATTCTATAATCTTTGTTTTCTGTGACTAAAATCAAAGAATCAGAGAGGCGTATGATCATCCTATAAGAATTCTATTGAATAGGCTTAATTAAATAAGCTAAAGTTGTGATTTTTAATCAAACCTTGATTTGAACAATTGTAATAATTACAAGTCACCTAAGGGCACAGAAAGCACAGTGTATTGACTCCTGTAACTCTCTGTATATCCTTCTGTGAATGATAGGCAGCAACTTATTTTAACCACATTAGAAAAGACAATATGAAAGAGTGAGCTGGTATTTTGACTGATAATTTAGGATATATGACAAGCACATGACTCATTGGGTTATGTGACACAGTAACTGCATGTTATAATGAGAAGCGTAGCTTTAATCTTTAGTAGCCTCATGAAAACTGGCTATACCTAGAAAGCTTTGCGGAAAGATATATGCTACCATGCCATGCTTTCCTTTAGTAGAACTCTTCCATAAGAAGTTGTCTGCATTTGTTTTAAAACACAAAATGAAAGATGATGAAGAAAAAACACTCTCCCAAAAAGACAGCTCCTGGAAGGTAAGGCTGTGGCACACAATCCAATCTTATCAGGCATCAGAGAACTCAGATGAGTTGAGGCATAATAAATAAGGTAACTTCACTCAGGCTTTATTCCTTAACAGCCTGAGGAAATTAGGCTTCGTTAGTTACATTGCTTCCCCAGTTAGCTGTGAAACGTTTCATTGAGTCTGCAGGGGAAGAGAAGCGAAAGCTTTTCTGCAGCTGTTAGAGATCCTTTTAGGAGTACCAATTCCACAGTTCTGTATGAAAAAGTGAAATCAGCTGCACTGTATACTGTGTGGTGGCTGCTTTTAGACTTTGGGCATTAAGCAGATAACAAGCATAAGACTGAAAGGATCAATTTTATTTTTCTTGTGTTTTCTTTTATTAGTAAAATAAATATTAGATATCAAAATCTCTTGAGATATACTTATTCCTCCTCAACAGGCAGCAATTCTTTTTGCTGAAGTAATATTGATTCTAGCAATATGCCACCTAATGCACCATTGTCCAACTTGAAATGAGTAAATGTACCATTATTTATTGAGCTAGGCTACCCCACCTTCTGCTGTAAGGGAGTTTGTCTGGGCTCTAGTTACTGTTGTATTCTCTAGGTCTTACCGATAACTGTAAACTCTTGCAATGTAGTGATGTCCGCTGTCCTTTTTGTCTTGTTTTTCAAGGGGTTGTTGCTGCGTTGATTGGTGTTTTTGGTGTGGATCTAGTGAGTATTTCCTGTAGTCTCCTGTCCTTACCTCTCCAGTTACTGCGTGTGATGCCAGCTGCAACACATTTCCCTGCTGTTTCGAGTGGTTCTTGTGGCTGCTGACTTGTTCCAGTGGGACTCAAGAGGGTCCCAAGGCAGCTGGAGCGCAGTCACAGTCCTCCATGCCATGTAGCTGTGCCCAAAGCAAGACTGCTGTGAGGCATAAGATGTCCGATAGCATTCCCGTTCACTGTAGTGTGGTGCCAGCCGTACAGGCGATGTTTCGACATCATGAAGAGCCATTTTCAAACAGGCAGCTGGCCTGCCTGATGAGGTGGGAGCTGGTGTAGAATCGGGTACAACCCCCTGGCAAGGGTCACCACAGTGGTCATTTTCAGAGCAGACACCTGCCAACAAGCTCTGCCATAGTTTCAGAAAATTGTGCACTGCTTTCTGTCAAAAGCTGCCTGTTCTCACATCACATCTTCCCCCGGAGCACAACCTCTGTGAGCAGATAGAGCGAGGTGCGTGTTGCACAGCTGCCTGCCCTTGCCAGGTCTCACATGCAGGGTCCCATGCAGGCTGCTGGCAGCAGAGGCAAAAGAAGGGGTTTAATGGTGGGAGAGGGCCCCGTCTGTCAGATCCTGGGCCGTTTCTGCGGCCAAGAAGGCTACAATGGAGACAGGCGGCTTCTTGGCATAATTGTTCTGGAGTTCCTATGCCAAGGGTCATTCTGGACCACAGCCAGGACGTGCTAAGCTCAGCATAATGCTGACTTGTATGCTGACCAAGTCAGTCACAATTTAAGTACAAGCCTTTCTGTATGCTGCCTATAATGGTTCGATTTAAATTGATGTTGCTTAAGCAGTAGCATAAATGATGCTTTGGTTCATACCCTGTTACCCCCTGCTCCATGGGAACTACACCATTTCCTTAAAACTGGACCCAAATAAGGAGGCGTGCAATATAGGATAGTTTTACAACAGATGCTTACTGCAGTGTACTAGGAAAAATGCCATTTTCCATTCATGGGATAACTTCTATATGTGCCGGAATTTCCAAACCACTTCATGTACTAAAGTTTAATACTATGAATTCTGGTTCAACCACTTTCAATCAACAAATATCCTCCTAAAACTGAAACAGAAGTGCTGGGAACCAGCACCACTCTCTGAGGTGCAATAAGGCTCACCTAATTGCTTCCTGACTTGCTGATCCGTCATCCTGACCTCTCTTTGATGTTTTCTTTCTTTCTTTCTTTTTTTTTTCTTTTTCCCGGAGCATTAGTAACAAGTGAGAAATGCTGTCTCAGGGTGTTATATATGGGATTATTTCTCTAACCCCAGCACAATGACCGCATGTAATAGGATTATCTCTTATTTAAAATTTACAAACTTTGGAAACATCGAGTCCTGTTTAGGAAAAAAGTACTTTCTTTATGGTGGTTCCTTTAATTGCATTTTTTTTCCTTTTTTTTTTCTTTTTTTCAATTTTTTTTTTAACTTTGCAATAACACATTTTTGTCAGTCAGCAAACCAACCTCGCTGCTGCAGATGCCTCCTTTCTGCTAGCTAAATTTAGGCTGTTCTTCCTCTCCTGCTCGCCTGACATCGAGAGGAATATGGCCCCTTTTAGAGTGCATTTATTGCTGTTGTAAACAGTGGAAGCAGACGAGGCCAGCCGATGGAGGCTTCTGCCAATGTCCCTTCTTAGGCATGTTTTCACTTAAAGATATATGAACTGGGACCAGTAAGTGCCAAACCCCTGAATGTGCGACTTGTGTGGAGGGAAGCGGGGAAACGTGTGTCAGCAAACACCAAGCACACGCTTTATTTTCTTCAGGGAGGTACGTGGAGGATTTCAGGGTACACAGCCGCGGCAGTAGAGACCCCTGGTAGAAATCAAAGCGGATTTAACCCCTGTTAAAAATCAAGTTGGAGGCAGAGCAGAGGCCTCTCCCAGACGGGGTGAGGCTTGTGGCGGTGTAAATCTCCTCACAGGACTTCAGCCACAGCCGCCCCGCGGCGGGCGCTGCCCTGAGCTCCGAGCCCTTTGTCTCAGGCGGAGTTTGAGCCCTGTCCGACCTGAGGGACGAGCCTCCGCCTGTTCGGACCCCCCCTCAGCCTCCGTGCCCCCTTTAGGGTCACCCCAAGCCCCCTCAGCCCCCTGCTGGGGGCGTCCCCTCAGCCCCTGAGGGAGCGGCGCGAGGCGGGGCGGGGCGGGGCGGGGCGGGGCGCGCTCACCTTGCCTCCTCCCCCCCCGCCCAGCAAGGTACCGGCCCCGCGCCGAGCCGCGCGCTGATTGGGCGGCCGCCGGGCCCGGTCACGTGGCGGGGGGGGGGGCCGCGCTTCCCCCCCCCCCCGCCCTCCCGCCTCCCCCCCCCCCCCCGGGCTCCCGGCCGCCATTTTGCCTGGAAAGTTTGGAATTCCCGAGCGGGGCGAGCGGGAGCGGCCGGCGCCTGCCCTGCCCCGGTGGCACCGGCCCGGCTCGGCGCGGCTCGCTCCGTGCTGCTCCTCACCGAGGAGGCGCCGCCGCGGCGGGGAGCCCCGAGCCGAGCCGCTCTCCGGCCGGAGCAGCCGGCTCGCTGCTGTGCCCGCCCGGCGCCGTGCCCGCTCCGCCGGTGCCGCTCCCCCCTCAGGGCCCGGCCTGCAGGGGGAGCCGTGCCGCCCCCCCCCTCCCCTCCTCACACGGAGCCCCGCCGGGCTCCGAGCGTGTGAGGCGGAGCCGCGGGGCAGCGCGGCGCCATGCCCGTCAGGAAGCAAGGTGAGAGCCGCGCCGGGCTCCTCGGCTGCCCCGGGACCGGCCCCGGGACCGGACAAAGCGCGGTGGGGTGGGGACGGCCCCGAGCTCCGCGTCCCCGCTGTGTGTGGGGGGGGTATGTGGGGGTGTGGGGGCATCCCCCGGGGTCCCACCCGCACCCCCGTGCTCAGCGCTGTGCCCGCTGTCCGCTTGCAGATACCCAACGAGCGCTGCGCCTGCTGGAGGAGTACCGCTCCAAGCTGAGCCAGGCGGAGGACAGGCAGCTGCGGAACTCCATCGAGCGGGTCATCAACATCTTCCAGAGCAACCTCTTCCAGGCTCTGATCGGTAAGGGCTGGGCTCGCCCCGCGGCGGGCTGCGAGCGGGCTGCCCCGGCTGTCACTGGTGGTGACCGGGGGGAAGGATTGCTGCGGCATTACGCGAGGAACCTCGTGCGTTCAGTGCGTGTTTTTGTTTGGCGGAGTAACACGTGCTATTGCCAATCAGCAGCACACTTGTTTTAGGTAACTTACTTCTTAGGAGTTCCTCGGCTGGCCCCGGGTGGCTTAACGCTGGTGTGTGCTGCAGTTTTTTCCCTCTGGAGCGTGTTATTGTGAACTGCTTCATGTAGGCTCCTTTCTCATGTGTATTTGTATCAATTCGGACAATTTCCAAGGAGTGTGTTTTTGTTGTGGGTGTGTACGTAACAGGCTAGCAAACGAGTCAAAGTAGTTTCATTCTAAAGTAGAATTCAGAGAAATCTTCGTGCTGAATGACTTCAAAAAGCTTGTAAATAGTATGCTTCAACTGTGAAGTTAAACTAAATGAGAAGAAACCCATGTTCGGGAAGGCTACGGTGATCTTTTTTTTTCCAGTTGCATACTGGAGTGAAAACATTGCTGCTAATTCTTAGTTTAAAGTATTTTCAATGCTTTTTCCTTGAAAGTGTTCATGTAGATCTTGTGGAAGTACTTATATCAAGTTTTGAATTTCATGCACATCTGTTAGGAGGAGAAGAAAAAAACAAACACCTGAGCATTAATATAGCTTGCAGAATGCTGGCATGATTTTGAAACTTCTACAGGGAGCTGGTGAGGTGTCTTCTCCTTAATTGGTTGTCGCTATTTTTATAGCAGCTAAGGAGTAAAGGATTTGTTAGTTTACCCTCAAGAGTTACTTTCTTGTTGAAGTTCTGAGTCCTTCCCTTTTAACAAAGTAACGTGCATGTGAGTTCTATTAATAATAAACATTGTAGATCATATAGGTTTCCTTAGTTACTTG